AAGCCGTCTGAAAACATGAAGTAGGCTAAAAGACAGAAAGGTATTTGGACTTTTTCCCTCAAACCGGGGCTTTAGCTTGTTTTAGCGCTTAGTTTTTTTTTTGTCTTTGCATTAAGACAAAGTTTATAAACTCAGTTTCTTAGCATCCTCAATCTGGTACATTCAACAAGAACAGGTTAGAAACAAATACATTCACATCAATTAAAGGCTTTCAGGGGTCATGATGTCATTTCAAAGGAATAATAATTAGCCAGTGACTATATCACCAAAGTTACTGCAATAGTGCAGAAAATACTAATCCAGGAAGCAACAAACCTAGAAAAAATATCTGAAACACTCCAGAGCTAATTTGTTAAACTGAGGTCAAAATGCATCATTCAGCAACAGGAAAACAGAGTATTCGGGGGAAAAATGAAATAAATGAGAGAGATACAAGCTCAAAACCAATGCAGACCAAAGGACAAAGTTATTAAATTTCCCAAATAGAATCTAATACATGGATGTTAAACTCAACTCCTTCAACTTTTAGATATTCATCTTTCCAAAATCATCTTAACCAAACGGCTGAAATGCTTTTTTAATTAAAGTCAAACCCTCCAGAGTCCTGGAGGGTTTGACTTTAAACCCTCCAGATGTGACTTTGAACCTTAAACAGATGTGAGGACCAACAATATGGAAAGCGATTTCATTTAAAAACAAATAAATAAAACACTGCAATTGATAAATTGTTAATAAATATTCCATTAAATAATTAAGTATCCCTATGAAATAATAAAAATATGTGAAAATGATTTTTATCATATTTCAAAATATTTTACTTATTAAAAGATTTATTAATTAGGTAATTGTTTTATTTGATTAGTTATGTATTTAATATTTATTTATTTCATAATGGAGTATTGTTATGCGACACAGAAAAATACTCCTTTATTTTGTAAAGCTACTATATGAGCAATGATTCGATGCAATCAACTGGTTTTCCTTAGATAGAAAACTTTGAATCAATTTGACTGGATGATCTGGTGAACTGGAAAGTGCCTTGAGATGACATGTTGTGAATTGGCGCTTTATAAATTAACTGAATTGAATTGAGTGGTTTAGAGACATTTCTAAAAGGCGTAGGACTGGAGTCTGACACGTGACGAATACTGATGAGATGAGTTTTATCCTAAGGGAGAATGTCCGGCCATCGGTTTGTAACTCTAGGTCTAAGATCACTTGGTAATAAAGTAGAAAATGACCCAAAGAACAACAGGAATGTTTAGTAGGAGATCAAATTGAAAACTTGGACTTGTTCCACATTGTTTTTAAACTACAGCAAGGTCAGAATCCCCAGTGGGTAATTAGAGCAGAGGCTTTGGTGCAATAAAAGGAAGTGGGTAAACATGATTTTTTTTTTTTTTGAATCACTAAGTAAGGCATGAGAGCTCAGAAAAGGTTTTTGAGAGGCTGGTTTGGCTCAGGGTCAAATCTAACAAGATATTTGTGAGGGATGGCGAAACATGAGTCACAGCTACCTTGAGGCAGGCTTTGATGTAGTGAGGCTGCAGGGACGCGCATAATCACAACCGCACATTGATCTGAGGTAGCTTAAAAACATAAACAACAATACACCTTCCTTCAGCTGCATCTTCACTGGCTTTATCATTCCAGCCCAAAAATCTCCACGATTAGTCCAAAGGAAAAGTCAAATGCTTTGTTAAGCAGGAGCAATGCTTTAAGATCGTGGCGCAAAGAGTTTCTGATATTTGAGTCACTCTGCTCTACGGGTCTGGGAGCGTGCATTGCTTTCATGGTTGTCACAGGCTCCTGAATGGGCTTTGCGGGTTGTGTAACTGCATACTTGGATTCTCATACTTGTAAATCATTTTAACGGCCTGGATCATCCTCACACGTCGGAAGAAATATTTAAAAATCCATCCCAACTGGTTTTTAACGGTCTTCTTTAGACCACTAAGTAAAACTCAGGGCGGTGTGATCCTCCTCTCCAGCTTTAAGTCTTTTTAGATGGACTGATATGATTGATGGTCTGTGTGAGACTGTTCTGCGCCTACAAGTTGTGCTCTATGGAGTTTGAATCATTCAAATAATCTCTGCTAATAAAGCTACAAATACTGGAGCTACATCCCATATGGACACCTGATTTAATTCTCTTAAAAGCAAGAAGACACCAGTAAATAGGGGATTAATGAGGTTATGGGGTAAAATTTCAGATAGATTACCTAGAAATTCTGAATTTCCTAAACTGACCTCAGGTTCTGCAAAGAACTTTCGCTCTAAATGCAACAGGATACGCCAGAGATCTCACATGGAAACATTCGAGTTTCGGGAGATGAAAGAGGAATGCCATGCGCTGGAAGGGAAGGGAGAGCCCCTGCAGCCATCCAGGACCCCCTGCTGCTCTGTCTAGAAGAGCATCACTGACTTTATTCAGGTGGATCAGAGGAAAAGGAGATGGACTCAAATGTATGCAGCTGTTCTTTTGAAACATATTGAGATTTCTTTTCAATGATTACCCACTGCTTGGTTAATTTCCAGTGATACTTTTCCAGAAGTCTGCAAAAACTTGTAGAGGTAAACGTTTACCCGTCACACTCACAGAAATTAAAGAAAATGCTTCCATCTTAAGAGATAAAAACCGCAGAGCCCCGGGCCGTCTGCTGTCAGCCATAAGCCAACAGTCCTACAAAGCTTCACTTTTCACTTGTCGTCCAATAAAAGCAGCAGGCGGTGTTCGATTATCAGCTGGAGTGCTGTCTTTGGCACACTGTTGTGTAGCTTTAATCAAACAGCCTGAGCCTAGCTGCCTTTACTGTTGCAGCAACAGAAAAGAAGCAAATTATCAGGCTTTTCTCTCTTAAAACACATCAGGATAAGCTGACTTTGAATCCAGTTCGACTGATCTCTGCATGCAGTGAAACTACTGCAGAAAAAAAATTCAACTTCAAGACTTTTTCTAATAGTTTTCCTTCCCAATGGTGGTTATTATTGTCAGAAATGTAGGAAAATTGTTAGTGTGTAGGAATCAAGACCTTTTGCCCTGCTCAGTAAGGTGGAGGTTGTGTCATGCTGTGGGCCTTTTCTGCTCCAAAGGCTCTAGATCAAGGGTTTGAATCCTTTAAAGTCCAAAGACGTTTTGCCAGTTAAGTAAAAGTCATTTAGAGCCGCAAATCTTACATAAAACACGATGTATTATCAGGGTCACACTATGTTTTCATCATGCTACAGGTATCGGCCGATAAACTAAATATCAGACAGGGTGCATTCCACCTGCATAATTCAGCAATACATAAGGAACTGCTTCTGTGACAGAAGTGTGGGAATTAAGGCCATCCCAGCAGGTCACATGAACCCAACAGGTGCATGAGTCTGTCCCAAAGGAGATTGTGGATTAAAAATGTACGTGGTGAGGTTGTTTTTGA